GCGACTTCACTTTCACTTTTCACTTTCATGCATTGGAGAAGGAAATGGCAACCCACTCCTGTGCTGTTGCCTGGAGAATCCCAGGGACGGCGGAGCCTGGTGGGCTGCCGTCTATGGGGTCGCACAGAGTCGGACACAGCTGCAGCGACTTAGCAGCAGCAGAAAGAGCACTAGACCGAATCAGGAGGGAGGGAGTGTAACTTTGGGAAGATCCCTTAAGCTCTATCTCAGCTGTGTCCTCTGTCTCACGAGGGCACTGGACTAGACAGCGCCCACCCAAGGTTTCTCTGTGCTAGTTGTTCAATCATGTTCAACTCTGCAACCCCGTGGGCTGTAGCCTGCCAGGGTCCTCTGTCCGTGGGTATTCTTCATGCAAGAATACTGGAGTGGCTTGCCATGCCCTCCTCCAGGGGATCTTCCTAACTCAGGGATTGGACCCAGGTCTCCCACATTGCAGGCAGATTTTTTACTGTCTGAGACACCAAGGAAGCCCAAGAATACTGGAGTGGGTAGCTGATCCCTTCTCCAGGGGATCTTCCCAGCTAGCAAATAGCAAGTAGCCTGGTATTTGTGTTCCACTGGGTATTTAGGGGTGAGTTTTCAGTATCTCAGGTCCTCTCTATGTTCTTTCTTACTGGAAAACTATCAGACTTCTGCCCAGTCCTTGGTCTTGCCAACAAGTCTTATCTCCAGGCACCCTTCTATCCAGTGCTGTCTCTAGCTTGGCTTCGATAACCAAGCAGTTGTTCATTCCATGGTTTCCACTTGTGTTTTCCAAACCAGATCACCTGCTTTGCCAGGGGAGGGGAACAGAGCTTCCCCACGCAATGGCTGCACCTTTGCAGTGGTTGACTTGGGTCAGTCAGTTAGATGCTCTCTCACAGGGTGATCAACTTTGTTTTGATCACACAACATAATAACTCCCATCAATCTCATCTGTTTTTCTTCCCCTTAAACATTTTCTTAAATTTAAAAAGTTGTGGTTAAATATACAAAACATGAAATTTACCATTTAAGTGTACATTTCAGTGACATGAAGTGCAGTCACACTGTTTTGCAGCCATCACCACCATCCATCCATAGAACCTTTTCATCTCGCCAAACTGAAGCTCTGTCTCCATTAAACACTCCTTTTTCCTCCTGTCTCCAGGCCCTGACCATTCTTTTCTGTCTCTGCAACTTTGTACCTCACATAGGTAGAATTACACAGGATTTATTCTTTTGTGACTGGCTTGTTTCACTTAGCTTCACACCTTCAAGCTTCATCCATGTTGTCTCATGGGTCACAATTCTTAAGGCTGAATAATATTCCATTGTGTGCATGCATCACATTTTGTTTATCTATTCATCTGTTGATGGACATTTGGGTAGCATCTGCCTTTTGTCTATTGTGAATAATGCTACCATGATCCTTAAGTCTGCTTTGCTTAAATTGAAAATGTAGGATAAAGGAAAGAGAAATACAGGAGTATATGTGGGTGTCAGTTGGACAGGAGCTGCTTACATCTTTGTGTAGTGGGAGGGCTTCTCAGGTCAGACCACGTCAGTGATTGGCTTGGAAAAGCTGACTGCTTGGCTGAGGGACCATTTGCTGTATCCCCTCAGCCTTCTGGATTCTGAGAGGGTGGGTGGAAGGGCAGCCTGGCTAGCACTCATCCTGCATCTGTAGGAATTTGCTTCTCTCTGCCTTTGTAGAGGTTGTGCAGAAATAGCATAAAGCAGAAATAAGCCCTGTGCTTTCTGGCACATCCTTTCCTGCCCACGGAAATGTCGTGTCCATGAAGGGGGCTTTGTGTATTGTGTGTGCTTAGAAAATTTGTGAAGTGATTGACTGAACAACAAATATGTTCTCTGACCAGGGAAACTGACCCACGTGGAGGAGTCAAATGCGTGAATATACAAGGTTGATTCTTAGCTGACAGCCAGGAGGAGAAAAGGAAATACCTGATAGATAATTCAGCACTCAGGTGATCCCTCCCCAATTATTGACACTTATTATTGCTATCAGCATTCTCTTTAGTGCCTTTTTGAGAATAAGATGTTATATGTATTTTCATTCCAAGTGTCTGAAGGGCTCATAAGATGGCTTCCATGAGAAGTGGTACTGAGGTGTCTTGTAATAAGCATCTCCCTGCAGGAATGGAAAAAAAAAGAAAGAAAGAAAGAACCAGCACTTACTGGGTGCTGTGTCTAGCACAGTGGGTGAGAAAGACCTGAAACGGGGGCAAGGCGTAATGAAAAGACAGACACATATAATTTGGCAAGCAGGAAATCAGGGGGCCCTCCTGCTCTCCACGGCAGGAAAACAAAATGACTCCTTTCAGCCTGCACTTTTATTGGCAGAAGTCACATGAGATCATTGGGGAATACTGGTGAGTTTGATCAGCGCACCATAAAAGGGAGTAAAGTTAAGGCCATGCTGTTGATCAGGAACATCTTGTTTTGTTTCCATGCAGATGGACGCAGGGGCAGGCAGTGAAGCGGAGCAGAGAGCTTGTCCTGCCCCCAAGAATGTCCCTTTGGCATGCTTACAAGGAGAATCACAAGGGCACAGTTTGCCACACCCTTGAATCATGGGGCGGGTTCTGGTCTCTGCTCTGCCAGGCTGCAACAACTGG